GTGCACGCACACTTAGTTACAAATTTGCCAACCGCCAAAAATGTCAAACTTGTGACTAAGTGTGCGCGCACATGCAAAATACAAGCATTGTGTGCGACGCACATAGAATGTGAGTGTGCACACTACTGTGTGCGTGCACTGACAGAGTGAAAATTACAGCCCTGCTCTAAATTTATAAACGCATTCATTTTTGTTCAGAATTGAGCAGGGACCGGTTCACGCATATTTCTATGCCTGATAGCTATGCTAAGCATAGCGGAGACGCAAGCTGCAACGCACCCGTCGCCATTCGATTCGAGCTATATTGTATGCGTACGTCTCTCAATGCACGGTCGCCTGCATACATGTTCGTTGTATTGTTCATATAGAGTGAACGGCGATGCGTCGGTTGCGTTTGCGGCTATGCTTGGCATATCTATGCTACCTAGCGCATTTAGGCAAGCATAGAAATATGCGCGAACCGGTCCCTGGAATTGAGATTGATTGTAAAGAGGGATCTATTTCAATCCCTTGAGCTGGATCCCAAAAATTGAGGTAAAATCAAAAAATTCGTGATTCTGCTGAATGGGGGATGTAGGCAAACGTGATCGAATTACAACTCATTCAAAATTGTTACAGATTTTCTTGATTGATGTCGGATAATCGTTTTAGATCGAAAATCAACAGAAAAATTACAAAAAACCTATAGAAATATCCAATTATCTAAATTTCTAAAAAAGTGAGCTTTTCCACTTTTGCAAAAACATTGTTTTTGGTTTGAAAAATAAATCAATAAAAAATCTTTATACCCCCGCTGTACTCACAGGCCATCCCTCTTTCTGAATACCACATACTTCAATGGATGCAGTCCACCATTTTTGATCACTAACTTGTACCATTTTTGCACAATAAAGCTTCAATTTCAGAAAAAAATCCGTAAAAACTAAGATATAATAGTTTTTTATAGTAAATTTTTCAAAAAAATATTTTTATACGTCGCAGATTCTAAAAACGATATAATAGTTTTTACTTTTCCTCTTCAGAGTCTAATGTCGTTGAAAATTTGACCAGATCTATTCCTCGTAGTGCCCAATCATCCCGTAAAGTCAGATTTTGAATTTCATGTCTGAGCAGGAAACCATCGTGTCACCAAAATGGTTAAAAAATGATCAACAAATGTATGGATAATGTGGGTACTCCATTCTGACCAAAAAAAATTACACCGGTCAACAGATATTGCTCAAAAACTAATCAGCACGTCTCCTAGTAGTGTCAAATCATCCTGCAAAGTCAGAATTTGAATTGAGTTTTTGGAAGAAGAGTTATTTTTCTCCTGTTCAGGGCCTCCATTTTACACACAATATTCAATATCGCTGAAAATTTAACCAGATGTACTCTACGTGGCCCCGAATCATGCAGTATATTCAGATTTTGAAATGTTATTTTTTTTATGTAAAAAATAGTCTGTGCAAAGTTTCACGTCATAAAGGTAGCATACAGGCATGGCTCCATACAATAATTCAATTTTTTGTGATTTCTCAAGGAAACTGTATCAAAAATTAAATGGGTTAGGATAAAAGTGAGCTCAAATTTTCATATAAAAAAATCTCAATCATGAAATCGGTAAAAATAAATGACCAACTAAACTGAGATGAAAATAAAAGAGCAACATGATTCATGTTGGTCTTTTATTTTCACTCTAAGCATGTTGGTCTTTTATTTTCACTCTAAACATGTTGAACTTTTATTTTTACGCTGCGCACGGTGGTGTTTTATTTTCAAAGCAAATAAGTTCCCGTTTTATTGGAAGTCCTATCAAGTTAGTATTTTATTTACATTTTTATCATGTTGAATTTTTATTCATTTCAGCGGTCTCCCGTGTTTTTCATACAAGTCTTCCATTTAGATTTAAAAAAATCGCTAAAAATGAAAAAAAAAATATTTTTTTTTTCTTCGATTTACGAATTCTATTCAATTTTCTTTATCATCTGATGAAATCAGAATGAAAAAACTCTCATTCCTTATCATTGAAATCGTGATTGGCATTCGGTCACTATTCAATAGATATTACATAGGAAGTTTATATGAAACTCTCGGAGACTCGGTATAGAGCACTCAAAAAGTGGAAGAAAAAACATTTTTTTCTCAATTCTCGAACACCACTAAATGGTCTATATCATTTGCTATGAAAAATTTGCTATCTCTTCCACCCAAATCGTGCTTGGCAAATGGCAAGTCGTTGTCTCATGCTATCACGCTCACCCTTGCATGTATGAATGTTTACAATGGACATTCTATTCACACACAACTCGCACCTATATCTTGCTGCGCAATAAAAATCGTCGACACAAAACTCAGTCTAGGTGTGTGCGGAAAAGTAAAAACTAATGCTATACTTTTTTCCATCATCTTCTTTATTTACTTGAGTTTGATTTACTCTTTCTCTCAATAAACACAGAAAATCTTATTTTGAATAAACAATTTCATATTTAAACATATTCGTATTTTCCCAGTGGTCTTGGCTTTCCGATCGGTGCAAATTCTCCAGGTTCAGGATGATAATACAACCAAGCTGTGTATGCCTTCATTTCATATGGTATCTGCGAGCAAAGAAAATGACAAATTTATTGGATTTGAAATGAAAAACGATAATATTTGATCAACTCACTTGATCGTCCATTAATGTTAGATTAACACCTAAATCTTCTAATGTCGGTACGCCATCAAGAATGACATCGCTAATAAATTCTTTTTCGACGCGTTCCCGATTCACTTCGCCGACTGGATTCGATTGGCTTAATTTTTCGGTCAAATAGGTTTTTATATAGAAAAATGGATCATATTTCATATTGTATCGGAAATATCCCCATGATTCAAGATCCTTATTCATCACACGATACAAATAGTCAATAATATCGGATAATAAATAACGATGTGGACCGACACCTTGATATATTTTTCCAGCTGTTTCTGGATCTTTGGCTGCATTCACAATGGCTTGTGCAATGTCACCACCGAAAACCGGTGCTTTAACGGTTTTGTCACCATTATCCCACAATGGTACAGCACGAAATTGACGACGCCACACATGTTGATAATACCATAAAAAGTGATCTTCTCGCCCGTACATATCAGCTGGCCGAATGACGGTTGCATTTGGGAATTCCTCAAAAACGGCCTGTTCACCATAGTATTTGCTTTTCAACCATTTGCTTGGACCAAAATAGGTAACTGCTTCTGGATCGGGTGTAACATTCATCGCTGATAAATGAATGAGACGCTCAACGCCACACTCACGAGCACATCTAAAATCAAATCATATGTTTAAAAAAATGTGAGGAGATTTATTTTTTCAAAATCTAAATTTACTTGGCAATTAGACGTGCACCATCCACATGAACATCGTCAAATGTGAAATTTCTCGTTTCCCATTGTCGTCCAACCAAATTAACGACAACATTCGAATATTTCATTGCTTCTTTGATGGATTTTTCATCGCGTAAATTATAAAAATGGAATAGAACTTGTCCCAAATCACCGGTCGGTTTCAAACGCATCGCTGGATAGAAATCGGCACGATATGGATAGATCAATTGTGAACCGAGCTTGCCAAATTTATACCCAACCATTGGACCCAAAAATCCGGTCGCACCAAAAATCGTGACAACCATTCCATTGAAACTGGAACGACCACCAGTACCGCGTTTTAACGATGTTAAATTCACGGTTTTCAATTGACGCGGCTCTTCATCGACAATGGTTGAATATTTGGCCACTGAGCTCAATGAACCATTTTTAAGACATACACCACCCAAAACACTGGCCTGTTGCTCTGCAAACAAACAAATTATTGAATTATGACATATCGTGACACAAAATAATGTCGAAAATGATAGAAATGAAAGCCATGCATGGAATTTTCTATTTTCATTCCAACCAAATGTATAAATGACATCGACTTCTTCACGTTAAATGCACATTATACATTATGTGCAGTATTTGTGTGACAATTGGAGAATGATATACAGAGATGATAGATAATAACGGATGGAAAGGATAATCAAAATAATTCACATATTCTGTAAATACCAGGCCTAAAATTGTCGCCCTCCCGTTTTTTTACATTTACTTGCCTGAATTATATAACCTTATCGCATTGTGTACATGTTTTGATTTAAGCAAGTTTCGCACGCATTTTCATCAATTTTCTTAGCTTCGAAATTGTAATTTATGAAGTGAATTGCACTTACTTGCCAGCTGCAGATTATTCAATAAATGATGAGCCATAATCACATCGAATTGCTAGAATTCAATATGATTTGGGGTTTTATCCTGCCCGTCGTTCTCAAAAACTTTGTTTTTTTTTCAACACTCAGTTCGACCAACCAATTGCGAAGCGATATTGAATGACAGCGGTGAACAGCTGTCAAATATCAATCGAAATCCATTCAATGATTTTGCCATCGAATCTGACAATCGCTCTTACATGAAATGGTATTACAATTCTTTAACAATAATTTGTTTCAATGGTCATTTTAAATCATATAAATTGTCCTTTTAAATGATTTGAATAAATATTGAACTTTACAATTTGTAAAAATCATTCAATTTTGCCGTACAGTGCTGACGTATTTAAATTGGAACACAATGGATGAGTTTAATGACATAAAGTAATGGCGACTAAAGTCGTCACTTGTTCGAATAGAAAGAGATAGATGCATTCATTCACTCAAATGGTATTTACTCTGTAAATGAGAGACGTTTACAAATGCCTATGTACAGCTAGAGTAATAAAGACAGAAGAACTTCAGACCATAATAATAAAAACATTGTTCTTTGTGTGAAATTCAGAATCATACGGACAATTTTCGTTTACAATATCGTTTTCCATTCAAAACGATCCGAACGTGTTTGAATAGCCGAATAATTAGAAAGGAGAAGCATTTTTCTTAAACAAACAACAAATAAACAACGAAACGAAAAAAAAATTACTTTTTTTGGAAGCAACATCTACGTGTTGTAATTCAAGCGTTTTCTGATTATAGCTTCCTTGCGACAACAACGCAAATTATTCCAGCTGTAATGTTTTATATAGCAAATTAAACAAAAAATTGTGATAGAATACTTTAAAATACTTAATTTTTTTTTGTTGATTTTCGTTTGTTGTTTTGCCTCTATTTACTGCACGACAGTGCTTAGACTATTAGTGGTTTGCTTCAGATTTTTGTGCGTATGTTTTTTTCTCTCTCAGTGAATCACATAATATTATTCTTTTTTTCGTAAGACGAAACAACGGAACGCATTTGAAAAACTAGTCTACGTCAAGTGGAAATTGAATTTTTTTCTAATATTTAACATAAAGATCATCGTGATTGAATTGTGTTGAAATTGATTTGGACATTGTTGTGAGCACACAGCGACAACAATTTTAATCGACTTTATTTCATTAATTTCATTGCGTTTGTGTGTCATTACGTATTTTCAAAGCCAAAAACGATAAAATGGCAGATAGGTAAGTGGATCACATGGACAGTTATTTAAATTTGCTAAAAAACAATGGAAAAACATTTCTTTTCACGTATTTTATATAAAATGAACGACGCAAACCTATTTTTAATTTTGGTGCAGTGTTTTGTTTGTTGAACTCGTTCATATATATATATATTTTTATTTGAAAGTAATGATGCATGTAAACAAATTGTTTTATAACATTTGATCTGGCACATTTTAGTGTTGAGAATAGTAAAAACGAATCAGGAAAATTAATGTTTTGTAATTTTTTTTAGCGAAAACACCGAACCATGTGTAACATTCGAGAAAACAAAAAATGAAGATGTGAGCAATGCCAATAACAATATGGAAAATGCGTCAAGTCCAACAGAAGAACGGAGTTCGGATGGCAAATCGGTCGGCAACAACAACTGGTGGGGTTCATGGATTAATTCGGCCAAAACAAAGGTAAAGTCAATGAAATGTTTGTCAAAACAAAAAAAAATATATATAAAAATGTGAATTTTCGTTTCATCTTTGTTGTGTGTACTTAGTCTGTGTCTGTGCTTGAGGCGGTCAAACGTGATCTCGATGAGATCTCAACAGCCGTTCGCAGTGAAGTGTCACACGCAGGTACTGTTCTCAATGAAACATTAAAATTGGACGAACCGGAATCAACAGCAAGTACAGTAAAAAAGAGTCTTAGCTCATTTTTCGGACAAGTGAGTGAAGCATTGGTACCGTCAATTGAAGATGATGAATCGGAGGCAATAATTATAACAAGGTAAAAATAATACATCAATATGATCGGGAAGCAATATTAATAATGTGTGTAAAACAATAATTATAACAGTGAAGGTGCGGTTACATTGACCGGATTTCAGAAACATTTGGCTGAATTACAAGCAAATGAAGCAACTTATTTATCATCGCCAGACGCCTCACTTCAAGAGAATTATCAACGTTGGTTGGAATGTGTTGATCAAGATCAATTTACACAAAATCAATTGGCGCGTCATTTGACAAGCAGCGAAATTTTGAATGAAAAATATTTGAGTCTTGTGCCTGATAAATTGCCGCATATGGAATTTTGGAAGCGGTATTTATTCAAACGTGCATTACTTGAGGATGCTTTGGCCCATGCTGAAATGGCCGAACGTCGTGCCAAAGCCGAAATTCGATCAACGAAAACAATAACACCGAAACAGGCGGGTGAAATTATTCAAACCGAACAACCAAAAACCGTTCAATCATCTGACGACGATAAAAATGACGACGAAAACGAACCAGTTGAATCAGCGCGGATAGGTAAGATTACATTGTGCCATACATTTTCGACAGTATTTGAATTCGTTTTGTAAATGTTTAGCCACCGATGAGCTTATTATTGAAGACACTGACATAAAATGGGATGCAGACGATTTTGGCAACGAAGAGATTTCAGAAGAGGATCAAGCACGTCTGTTGGAACAATACGAAGCCGAAATCATGGAACGTGAGAAGCGAAAAAGTACCATTGTTCCGCTTGAAGAGAAAGTAAGCGAAATAAACAATTATTATTGAAGAAAAATATTTTTAAACACATTTTTGCAAATTTTTTTGCTTTTTATTTAAAAGCTTCGTTCAAACACCGAACAAAATACGAGTGCGTCCGAACAACCGAAAACCGGAAATAAGAAAGATCAACAAAAAAATACAGCATCGCAAAAAGCAACAAATGCAAATAAAAAAACAAATACGACAAAATCCAACAGCACAACCAATAAACAAGTAGATAATTCGAAAACCAAATTAAATGCGAAATCAAAACAAACGATACAAATTAGCAGCACCGGCGATGATGTGAAAAAAACAACGTCTAGAAAAAATCACGGCAATAAGGGAGATTCGACTGTAGTCAAGGAACGTAGCCTAGCTGAAGATCTTAAAACTGATGCTGGCGCTACATCCGACGAAAGTTGGGAAAAAGATTTTGATCTAAGCGATCATTAGAGAGAATATTATTGACTTACGGCATCATACGAATTTCCTTTTTATTCGTCTATCTCTCTCTCGCTCTGCCGGATTTATTTGATTTTCATTTAAAAAAAATTGTGCATTAATGCGGTGTTAAAAATAGATATTTAATATATAGACATTTCGTTGAGGTTTTGCGCCAATTCTATTAGATGTATGTATGCTCAAAGAAAATATACTATAACACATCCATTTTCGACATGTGTCGACACTATGATTTCAATGTGTGTATTTTCAAAATGCAATGTATTCCTTCTAAAAAGCATAAACCTTATGTATGTATATCAACATTCTTCTTTTTTTTAATTTCAAATTGAATTCGAACACATGTAAATATATATTTTTTATAGATTTTATACATATTTTTGGTGCATTCATCATTCGCATTCAAAAGCAGAGATTCAAAAGAAAATCAGATATGAAATAATCGTTTTTTTAACCGTCTTCAAAACGTTTAAACGGGACAAATTCGATGCAATTTTTATCTGTTTACACAATCGAATTAATATATATGATTTAAAAAAAATTTGAAATAAATTATTTGAGGACTATTAATAAATTAATACTGCGAAAAGTAAATATTCTGTCTTATTTTACAAAAAAAAAAAAACGGCAACGCAAAGTTATTCCAAAAACCATTCAATAGCAAAAAAAAATAACCACATTCTAATTTTAGTTGTTGCAAAACCAATTTTGAATAATATTATGAAAATATTTAACTAAGAAAATCCATATTTATAAAATCATTATTATCAGTAACACTATGTATACCGCATATGTATTTGTTGAGATGAGGCGGTTGGTGAATTATATTAAAAAACCAAATGGAATGAATTACAACTGAATCACATTACACATAATATTTGATCTTTTATGTAGCAAAATATGAAGATTGAATTTGTTAAACAATTTTTGTGTATCGCATTTGATTCAGGAAAAATAAACATTTTTTTAAAAATTAGAATTAGAACTCTGAACTTGTGGTCTTCTTTTTTGGTTAAACATTATTCTTTCAAACATTTTACGAAAACGATGAACTGTCATTTGAAGCACAAGAAACGTAGTATGGACATACAGAGACAAAGAATGGCCGAAAAAGTTATAGAACATACACATACTAAAAACGAAACATTATCCTATCACAGCCGCTCTTTACCAATTTTGAATAACGGTATCACATCATGTCCAAATTAAATGAAGCAGCATTATAAATGGTACGCCATTTTAGTATATCGTTTTGTTGCATTGTTAAAAAAATGTGTCTGAATTATTAGTTTATTACATTAGTTGAAACGAATTTTGTATATATGTTTACTTAGTTTTAGTTGTGAAAAAATAATCAACAAAGAAAAAATGGAAACTGATTCGAATAACAACGTTGAAATCGCAAAAAGCGACAAGACCACCACCGGTGATGTTAAACATACATTGGATTCACTGAATCTGGACTGTTTTCTGATGATACTCGACCATTGTGACGCATGGACCCTGATGAATTTGTGTGATGTCAACCAAAAATTTCGAAACAAAGTTTGCGCTTACAAGAGTATTTTTGCCAGCAAACTATTCGACATTGACGAGTACACTGAAGTAAGCATGCGTACACATTTTAAGCAACGATTGTCTAAGTTAATCGATTCAACTTAATCATACATTCACATTCTATTTTGTCAGGTTGAGCCAATTTTCGAGGAATTTGGCCAATTCATTGGCAAATTAGACGTATCTGAATACAGTATTTGTTACGCAAAATTTTCAATGAAATTTAATTCGCTGTTGAAAACGATCAAAGATTACTCTGTTCCTGGAAATTTGACGGAATTTATAATAAGCTTTGACATTGTAAAAATAAATAAGCGGCTGTTGAATAGTGCGTTGCCATATTTTGCAAATTTGAAGCATTTTTCATACAATGGCCAATTCAATTACAGTCATGCCCAAGAGCATGTATTAAATGAAATAATTGGAAATGCACATCAACTGACGTCATTAGATGTTCGCTATCTACGTACAGCTGGCAATTGGTTTGGTTTCAAACATTTAAAAAATTTGGAACGATTAAATTTTCTATTCGTCGAGCTGATAAAATTTGAGCCGCTCCGACAGTTTATTCAAAATCGACCACCATTACGATCGCTGGCATTGAGCATAGGTAAGGAGCAAGAATTCAAACACAAAAAATCGGAACTGATATTGATTTTTTTTTTCGCAACAGACACCGTTCATCATCAACATCTTTGCAAATTGATTACAAAATATATTCCGAATGTGGAAGAATTTGAAATCCGAAATTCATACGCACAATTGCCAAGTGGTGATGATTTTGATTTCAGTCCGTACCCGAAAGATTACAAGAGAAATCAGGTGTCGAATGATGATGACAATCAAGATGAGGACATGAATGATTCGGGAGAGGAAGAAGAAGATGAGGTCGATAATGATGACGTTAGTAAACTATTTAATAATTTGATGGTATTCGAAGTCGAATTAAAATGTGTTTGCTTTGTATCTAGATGGAAATCGGTGATACGACATTTGAAGACACCGATTATGAGGAGGAGTCCGATGATGAGTTAGAGTCGAATGCTGAAACAGATCCTGAAACTGATTCCGACATCGATGGTATGCGAGACCTCGATTTCCATCCAACTCCATACCAGGAACTTACAAACTGGACTCGAGTTTATTTTGGATTGAATAGATTGAAGCGTTTGAAACGAACCTGGCTCAAATCTAGATTTTCCAACTGGCTCGATTTAAGCGAAATATTAAAAGGTACAACCTATGATTTTCATTGAGTTTCTATATTTCTCAATTATTTCGTATGTGATTCTCTCCTTAGACATGACCATCAAGAACACTGTCGAACATTTAACCATTCAAGTTGGACCAATTGACGATTATCCATTAAATTTTGCTCTTTGTGACCCACTACCAAAAAGTTTTACCGCTCTAAAAACACTGCGTATCATATCACCGAAAACACAATTGCCCATTCGTCACTTCGTTCAAGCGCTGCCAAATTTGTCGAAATTCATTCTGGACATGGAGGGAATCGAAAAAATTGTACAAGAAACAATATTGAATGTGATCGTATCAGCCGATAATTTGGAAATTTTAGTTTTAAAAATGCCAGCCATGAACTTCGACCATCACCTTTATATGAAATTGTTGGGAATTCAGTTTTACAAATCGGAACGATTGGGTCACATGAAACCATTAAATATTTATATTAATTCTATGCCGCAAAAATTGTTAACCATAAACAAACTCAAAGAAAATTACGATGAAAAGATGATTGCCATAAAATACAAGTCATTCATGGACTGGGAAACGAATCCAATCTGATCTTTCGTCATGTATTTAAAATCGTAAAAGAAAAAATTGTTTGTAAAATGCCATTTTGTTGATCAAGTTTAAGTTTGTCATTTTATAAGGGAATATTAAATAAAAAAAAGTCTAAGTTGTAACGAAAAACAAGTTTCTTTTATTTTTCAGGTTTATCTCTATATAGTTAACGTTCAAATGTGACGAAAATTAAAATCATCATTGTAATAGATGTCACCACTTGTGCATGGAGAATGTGTGCACATGTGAATACACATTGAATGTGTAGAGCGTAAGTATGAGAAAGACGGAGAGTGGCAAAGAGGGAGAAGGCACAATATAAATGTGAGCACATTTACAAATGTTTTATGAAATGTCGTACATGTGATCTATGTGTATGCGACAAAAACGCCCTCTCGTGGTTTTAAATCTATGCGTATGCTCTATTGGGTGAGTAAAAAAAAACAATGGCGATGACAGTCAATCGTTTTATGGCATATCGTTCAAGCGAAGTAAGAGCAGTGCTTTATTCCTGTTGTTTCAGTTGCCTGTAAAGGATGCCTTCTGCCGCGAGTGTTAAAGTAGAGAAACCACCAACTACCAACATTTCAGCTAACAATGCTGTGGCTGCTACTAAAGAAGCGGTTGCACAAAGCGAAAATGTTGATAATAGTTCTCCCGTACGACAAATCTCACTAATAATCGAGCACAAAATTCGAAATTTGGAAAAACGCAAGGTAAGCCAAAATATACAGAAAGAAAAAAAACCAAAGTAAATCCAAGCAATACTGTCATTCTCACTTGTGTGTCATTCACACGAAATAAAAAAAAAAGAAATTTAAAAAAAAGTAAGAAGAAGAAAAAAGAGTTAAGAACAAATACGGTTCATGTACGTGTTCCATGTGTGCGAATGCATGTTTTTTTTTGTTCCTCGTTTGTGTCGTGTATACTATGGTTAATGCGATTTATGGTGAATATTGCATTTTATTCGCTTTAAGGCAGTGTCTTCGGACATTTTAAAGCATAAAAAATTCAAATATAAGAAGCAAGTGAATTTACCTGAAACTAACTTTGTACATGTACATTCTTTGTTCTCGTACACAAAAGACATCTTCGACCGTTTCTTTATGAGTGAAATAAGTTCATATTTCAACGAGAGCAAAAAAAGAAGAATGTTCTAGATCGTAGTGTTGTTTCTGTTGATTCTTTTCATCTAACCAGAACGATTTGGAAAATTTCATGGTTGCTGGTCACTTCTTGGCCAATTTCCATCGTTTGACTTTTGCAAAGAGAAAACTCTTCCAACTTGTTTTAATTCATTTACCATGCATAATAGTATTCAGTGATTGAAACATGATTTCAGTTGTGCCTCCAGTAGCGGTGTTTTTTGTGTTCGATCGAATAGAATGTAATGTGTCTGCGAAAGCGTTGCGCAAATTTATTTCTGTGTGTTTTCAATCAGTAATAACAACAGACGGGTGCAAATACGTTCGTCTAAAATGACTCAGTCGATGCGGAGAAAACATTTTTGTTGTTGTTGTTTTCAATATTCTGTCGTCGACATTTTTTTTTCTTCTTTTCATTAAAATTTGTAATTTTCGGGAATTTGATATCGCAGAATTTTGGGTAAATAATCAACGCGAAAATAATTTGTTGTTGTTATTATCATCGTGCCAATATATTCAAACTTATACAGGGAAAATTAGATAGAATTATTTGTCAGAATATTCACTAGCCGAGCACATTCACCTAGGCAGAGAATCTCCCTAGGTTAATTTCATTTAATTATCGTGAGCTATGTGCACACATGACGCGTCAGAGTGTCTATTAATTTTAAATACATGCATTTTCTATCAAAGTGTTTTCAATCTAAAGACTGAAATGACTCATGTTTCATGCATCTGTCTACGGTAAATCAAAATTAGCGATCTTTCATTTTTGTTTTTGCACATTTTGAGACGATCTCCGATTGCTAAGCGATTTTCTTCTATCAGTATCAATGACTGCATACGCCTGTTGAGGTGTTTTTCATTCTTTTGAATTTCGTTTTGGTTTCACAAAAGTCTCACTATTCCAATAAGATACGTAATTGTGTCGCTATACTATGGCTTTGATTTTATGTTTGAAAGAAGAAAAGATCATAGTGTGACACCAAGAATTATTTAATTGCAAAGTTGGCAAACAGTATTGCCGAGAGAATTAATTTTTGATGTTGACCAACCACATTTTCGAATTAGTTTTCCATTTCAATTTGGTTAGTTCTGTTTCTTTTTTGTGTATTGAATAGTTTGAAGTAGCGTCAGTAGTGTATCTGTGCCATTTGTGTGTACGAATCGAAGTGTGTATGTGTAAGAGTGTGCATGCCGAATGTTATGAGTTCAATCCACTGTTGTCTATGTTTTAACAGAACGAATGTGCAGCTGTGTGTGTTCGCGTGTATTGTTTCTTATGGTGCGATTATACGAATATAGCTTGAACGATGGACGCCATATTTTTCGTATTCGTTTTCCATATACAACAAACACATGAGTCGCATGAACAAAGAATTGAAACGAGCAAAACTACACACCATTCAGCATGCATTATTTTTCCAATGGTTTCTTGGTTACGATACTCACGTCAGTCATATGCTATGACTATAATGCCCATAATTTCGATTGCAGAAGGTCGACAGAATGCATTATTTGTCAATAAAAAAAATATGAGATATGAGACAAATGTCTGGCTACTTTATTTAACCCGAACACACACAACACATTCACAAAAACAATAACAAACAAATGCCTGAAATCCTGTCTAATAAATTTAATATGATTTTTTTTATTTTTTTTTTCATTCGTTCAGAGCAAACTTGAGTCTTACCGGGACTTGGAGAAAACCGGCAAAGATTTGAGCACTGACAAAAAAATCGCAATTTTGAAGTACGATGAGGTGGCGATGACACTGGAGTTTGCCCGTGAATTTTCCAAGCAAATCGATAAAGTTGTCGTCTCATCGGAAAAGGATCTAAAGAAGAAGCAGAAAAAGGATGAATCACTTAAAAAACAAAATGAAACATCGAAAGTCCGCGAAGTATTAATTATTCAAGACATTTTAAATGTACTGAAGGATGAATCAGTACGCAATGAATTTTTGGCTGGAACGAATGGTGCCTGTAAGATCGAACAAGATGAATTCGATCTATTGGACTCATTGTAAGTGGGATTGTTTATATATAAAAAAAATATTCACAGTCATCAACATTCATTTGTAATATATCGTATAATTTTTTGTTTTTGAAATGTTTCAGTGCCGCTAAGATTCTACCGAAACGTTCAACCGAATCGGGTAGCGTCTCATTTAAAAATTCTTGCCAAAAAGCTGCCGACATTCTATCGCTCACCGTTGATGGCAAGCAAAAGGAGTTTGAAGCATCGACAACCTATGCAAACATCAAAACCCTTTTGAAAAACATCCAAAAGTCGGCGTACTTTGAGAAACTCAACCAACCCCAACAACAAGCTGAAAACCGAATTGAATTGCGTTAGTATTTTATTTTATTTCAATTGTTTGCATATGAGAGATAGATAGAGAAAGAGTATCTATTTGATGTATTTGTCTACGTTTTTATTTGTATATAGAAGAAAATGCTTCCGAAGAAATAAGTGACGTCAAATCTGACGATGATGCTAAGACCGTAATTACGCCAGAGGAGATCGTTGTAGAGGAAACGACTGTTAATGTTGAGGCTGGAAAGGTGAACAACCAAGGCGAAAGTGGAACGATCGACTATCAAGAAGCTCCATCTGCGTCCGCTGTGCCTGTACCAACATTCACACCTCAACAACCACATGTCGTCGCCGCACCCGGAATAAATACGCAACAAAATCTCAAACCACTTCCGCAAGGTAAATTGATTGTGACCATAAGCAGCGAACATTTTTGTTTAAATATATACATATACTTGATGCTTATTAATATTATAGTTCCCGTGGCAGCCGGTGGTTCGATTCCATTGTCGCAGGTTCCACCAAATCATCAAATCCATACTGGGCAATTGCCGAGCGTACGGGCTGTTGAGAGTGCATACTTTAAACAACACCAGTACATACAACCAATGGCTCGTCCACTAGCTGAAGTTTTGGGCACAGGAAATTTCTTTTTCCTTCAGGATTCGGAGTTAGATTCTCCGGATGTACCAAATAACATTTCGGCTCATCAAAATTCGGAACGACCACCTATATGTCAAATTGGAGTAAGTAGTCACATTCTCACACAAACAATGTCTTTTCTTCCCCTTTTTCGAATTAAAAGAAATGAAATTCAACAATGAAAAGTGTAAAATGCTCATGGTTATATTTATATTTATGTAGCAACAACCTCAACAACAACCGTTAGATCCGCTTCCGCAATCGAATCTGAACCCAAACAACCAACTGCCGCTGCAGCGACCTGTGAGTCTTTTTTGTTTTTTTAAATAAATGAACTTAATTATTAATGCGTTGATTTGATGAATTAATTATGGTTTTGATATTGTCAGGAGGTACCAACAACTCAAATCAATCCAATGCACAATCAACCATCGCAGGCACATCAAAATCAGCAGGTAAACGCAACTTATTGGAAATCGCCTGGGGTGAGCGGTATTGATACTAAATCGGTGGGCGCTTCAGCCGTTGACGCAAAATCTACTGGAGTCACTGCTACATTTAACAATCAGTCATTTCCATTGATCCACAATCCACAGTCTTCTTCGTTCCCAAATGTTGTGCCACCACCAAATCCACAACAAGTAAATACCGATCATCATCCATTGTCTTTGGTACTTTCCATTAAAAATCAATAAGATTTAATTAGCTCGAAACTGAAAATGAAAAAAAAAACACATACATACATACACATTCGATACAAAACAAATTTTAACTGAGTCGAATGTCACCAATGTTCCGAAATAATGCTTATTTTGACATTTTAATCATTCTTTTTTTCGAAAAATAAATCAACATTTGTTATCTTTTTTCTGCAGCATCAGCAACAACAACCCCACATACCCGGATTTGCAACCCCAAACGCTCCGATCCCAATACCAGCTCAAATTCCCACGTTGAATCAGTCGGTACCGCAGCAAACCACATCGCCAAATGCAAATCAAATGCTTGTGCAACAGTCTCAGCAATTTGCATCAGCATCGAAATTTGTGAATCAAACAAACCTTGCAACCACTCATCAAAACATTACCGAAAATAATACACACGACTTACACGCTAACACTGCCGACATCAAAGAAAACGAATGGAAAGTTGATGACATTGCGCACGTTACATCCAAACTGAATAACACCTCATTGGACCACTCTCACAAAACGGACCTGAAAACCACCATCAGGTACACCATATCACATGCACTCACAAATTTTAACACGACAAAATTAACCAATTTTTTTCTTTTTGTATTTTTCTCAATTGATAAACACAGCAATGGAAATAGTGCTTGGCGTGATTCATATACGACAAATGCGAATAAAAATTCACAAGAGAGCAATGAATGGAATAGTGTGGCGAATGAAAATGGTCAAGACGATTCAAATACATGGCCAAGCGGTGGAAATCAGAGATATCAATATCGTCAAGGCTCTGGCAATTATCGTTCATCAGCATCAAAATCATCGTAAGTACTTATTTGAAAAGAAAAAGAAAACCTCTAATTGAATTGAAATTTGTTTTGTAGATTCTCAAAAAATGCCCCAAACAATTATCGTGGTCGTTCAAATGGTTCTTACAATAATGGTAACAATTCGGGAAATGGCGTTGGAAATTCACGAACAAATGGCAATGGTAATTCTTCATCGTTTTATCGAAACAACGACAACACTTTTTATCAAAATGGATCGCGGGCCGATAAATCGTCGGAAAATAAGAGTGGCGGCGGTGGTTCAGATGTAAAGAATTTCTCAGCTAACAGATACCGCGGTAATCCACAGCGGAATAGCAACAATGCAAATAGCCAAAGTTCAAACAACAAAAAGAATTTCAATTTCAACGCTCGAGTGTAATTCAATGGAAAAACAACAATACACCTATCAAGTACACACATACACCAGGCGAACTCAATAATAAAAACAACAACAACATGAAATTTAATTAAAAACAAAATGATCATAGAAATTCCAAATTTTTAAAAATCTTCATTCATCTCTTCTGATTATTATTATTATTATTGATCACATTGAAACAAAAAGCATCTCCACACAACACATATGCAACAAAAACAACAACAACAACAACAACAAAAATTACATTAACACATTTATTCGAAATTTATTTAATAAAAATTGCAAAAAAAAAATAGAACAAAATAATGAGCCAATTTTTTTGCACCTATTCAAAAATGCGCCACTATTTTTGAATTCGTTTGCATCAATAAAAGCCAATTAAAATTAGATTTTGTCCCTTTGTGATTTTTTTTTAAATCGGAAGAATAATGCACAACCGCATCGCAATTGGCAGCAAAAGCAACAGGAAAAAAAAACAAAGAACTCTATGAATAAAATAAAAAACACAGTAAAAAAAAGGAAAAAAAAAATTGTGTTGGGTCTTCATTATGAAATGCAGAGAAAAGCAGGGTTGCTATGGCAATCAGTCAATATTATAACTGCTTGAGTTGAGTATTGGTATTAGCATTCAGTTCTCTTTTCAAAGCAAATCCAAATACAGTGGAGAGATGAGTAAATTAGAAGATTTACTTGGTAAAAAGAAGGAAGTGGTTCCTATACTAGATTTGTCCAAAAGTATAGTCAATACGAAAGAAGAATACAAACGACTATGTGAAAAAGTGCCCGACTATAAAATGCGACCGATTAAGGTAAGTTTGAATTGGCTCCGATGCCAAGTTGAGCAATTTAACAGCAACGTCTGATTCGATTTGGTTTATGCTTTGTAATGCTTTAGGTACGTACCGAAGATATAAAGATTAAAGAGCAAGACAGTGGCTTATTCAAACCACCGAAAAAAGAGCTCAAGTATCTATTGCGTCACAATGGAGACCGTGAACGTCATTATGTATATTTGGATCCAATACCACTGGAAATGCGATCTTTGATGATAATAGAACTGTGCACCGTTCCAATTGATTGGAAAATGTTGACAACGTTGCGTCCAAAGACCAAAATTGAAGAAGAATATTATAGCAAGTAATGAATTGAGCGAAAAAAATGAGAAAAATAATGGCTGTTGTTATTGTTTTTGTACATATTGCATAGGCTCATCGAATTAGGTAAGCTTCAGATTCGCACCGAGCAGCGTGATAAGCGTGATTATATGCTGAACTCAGCGATAAAGAAAATAAAAAATAAATCTGGCGTTATCGAAATGCGACCAATGACCTGTGCCGAATGCAGTGAAGAGTACTGTAATGGTCGAACTTGCATCGATTTCAATTATGATTTGTACACAAGAATTACACCAAAAGAGCCGGCCACCAAAGTGATTGCCACCAAGACATCCGTTGAAAATGAGACGATCAGTGGAAAAAAAGCAAAAAAGAAATCAAAATCATTCGATTTTGGACGAGGACGGAAGAAACGAAATCGAAGTAAAAGTCCAACGAAAACCAAGCGAAAATAAAACTCATTTACATTTAGTAGTTAAAATCAGTCATCTTATTTATTTCTTTTTACCGTAAACAACGACTATTGGTTTCCCTTTTAAAATAAGTCCATTTGTTTCGTGCAGTGCTTTTTCAATCATTTGATATTTGGTTGTTAAATTCATTTCTGCCGCTTCATCAACGTCATAGTTCAAGTAAGGACCGTCAAAAATGATAAAAGCTTGACCTTTCATTCGTCCGCTGGTCATCAGTTTAATATCAATCGAACGAATATTACCGCATCCACCACAATTCTCCTCCAAATAACGTCCATAAATCGCTCGAAGATCAGACTCTAAAACTTCTTTGGCTATATTTTTGATGTACAGACGATTGCTTATTTCGCCCGCATTATAATTTTTGAACATCGGATGTCCGTTAAGTTGATCGACTGGAATTCGATTTTCATTCAGTTCCGAATCGGTCCATATATGTGATTCAATCGGTTTTACCTCCATCTCAATGCGATTGCCACTTTGTTTGGATTTCGTTTCGTTAATATCTGTCGCATTGATTGTCGCCACACTAGTCCGTGGTGTTACATCACGCAATTGTTCGGGCACAACAATTTTTATTGTGGATGATTTCAACCGTTGTTGATCCAAATCAAATGCATCACTAATTTTCGATTGTGATGTCTGTTCATTGATGGGTTTCTCAATTGATTCCAATTGTTTTTGTTGACGCTGCATCTTCAATAGATTCTTTTGTTTTTTCTTAAGTAATACTTGTTTATTAGCTTCGATATTCGAAGCAAGTTTCTTTCGTTTTGACTTAGATGGATGTGTGTTATCGATTTTTTCCTCGTCTGTCGATGAATTTGTGGATTCCAGTTCCGATTCATCTGATGCAACGAATTTTCGTTTATTGCGTAGCAAATTTTGCCAAATAATTTCATCGGTTTGTGTTTCAGCGCAGGCATACTGTATTCTACACGACGCACTTTCATAGATTAAGTGTTTGTCGCCGGGTACAAATGGTGGTTCCAAATTCATTCGATTCATTAAATGCAACACTTGTGTGTAAAACTTTGGCACACATTCGAGTGCAATGCAAATGGCATCGATTATATCACGATTTGCCTTTGGATATTCATAGTGCAGATGATGCGGTGGAGGTTGATCAAAATGCATGTCATCCGCTGTTGCATAGAGTCGTTTCAATGTTTTACTTACACTTTCAATCGTTTCATGGTGAACACTATCGGATGCTGTACTTTGTTGGATCATTGAATTTTCGTCGGCACAAAGCACGGCCACGTGATTGCGATTCTTTGGCGCATATTCTACAAAAAGTCGATTATCATCCAAAACTTCTTGATGCAGTAATGTTAATATATTGCGAGCATGGTCAGCACCATTGAATTCAGCAATGACCGTATGTTGAATTTGGAAAACATTCAAATCGATTGGATCAAACATTTGCATGAAACTACGAATGTCTTCTTCCGAGAATGATGCCGGGAAATTTCGTACAATTAAACACCTTTCATTAATATTACAACTCATGTTTTGTTCTTTTAATGGTTTTTTATTTTATTTCCAAATAAATTTTAGTATACTTATAAAAAAAATTGCAGAAAAAAATGAAAATTCAATGATTTAACCGCTTTTGTCTTTTCAACTAAATGCTAAACAAAAATAGAGAAATGTCAAATGCACATTGTTGCCATTGTCATGAAGAAATAAAAAAATCACTGGCCATCTATCGGCAAGAATGGCGTTATTAACATTTTCTTTTAAATGTTCAAATTACTATGTTTTTAAATACATTTTGTTCAAATACGTAACAATACTTTTTGTTGATTTCATAAAATGGATTCGGATTAAATTCAAATGCTCTGCATTTTTGTGTCTTAATTTTGTCTTTTGTTTCAGTGATACTTGATGATACTTGAACGATTGTTGATTTTGAATGGATTTTGGTTGTTGTGCGTAATTCTTCGGTAATTGTCTATAAAAAAAAAAAAAACATTTGAAAATGCAACTAAAAACATTTAATGTTACACCATAACTTACTAAAATTCAAGAAAAAAATATTTCCGTCCAGTATTTCTGGTTATCCACCCGATTGCAAACTATACACATCTTTCGTTGACCAATATCGCCATACAAACATTCCCTACAATACATATGCCCGCAACAAGTTGTAAATGTATTGACATCGAATAAACTTTTTGCACACAACGGGCAATTCAATTCCAGTTCATTGCTTGGATTTTGATCGGTTTTTTCCAAGAAAGATCGAAGCAATTTGGAAGCTCGGGTATCAACGCAACGACGTTTTTTGATTCGTTGTTCATCATTGAAATAGACTTGGATGCAACGAAATTTACTAACATGCTTGTTGCATTTGATGCACATTCCTCTGGTTGACACATCGTTGTTCATGCAATTCATGCAGTACAAATGACCACACTTCGTGGTATATGTTTCGGTTTCAATTAAATTTACAGCACACAATGTACAGTTTAGTTCTGGTTTGATAACAGCAACACTTCGTTTGTTGTTCGGCAGACGACTATCCAGTAGTGTTGATGACGTCGATGGCGAACAATTGTTCAATTGCAGGACATTTTCTGGTTCATGCACAAAATCTGTATCAATTTCGGTCAACGGTTCATTTGTTTTGCGATCATCGGATCTTTGTCGAATGGAAACTGTGTTCAATTGTGGTTCGAGTGGCTCTAATTTTATACGATTGTGTTTTGATGATTGTGGCTTATTTTTAATGTTGATAGCCGAAGTTTGTGTGTCTTTAATGGCACGAATGTCCATTTCGATAATGATGCCACCATCCGAAATGTACATATTTTTTGAATAAAAAAGTTCATTCAAACTAATGAACGGTGCACCATGTGAATTCGTCAATGTCGAAAATTTCACATTCCGTACTTTTGTGGACAATGCGCCCAGTGTGTCATTTTGAGTAAGTAAACGAAATGAATATGACCATTTCAGTGTTTTGTAACTTTGTCCTTCGCCAGGTTGAAAAAGCAAATACAACCACAATGTATCTTCGCAAAAATGTTCAACATTTTCATATGGTCGTTTGAAAATACAAATTTTGAATATTGAACCATGGAAATGGATGTCAGATGAAATGGCACCAAGTGTTTTGTAAATTTCTTTGAAAAATGCACGCACTTTTAATGGTTTTTCACTGTCATTGTTGCCGTATGTCGACAATGTGGTCACGTCCACCGTATATTTGGGCATTGATAATGCGATCGCTCGAATTTTCATGTGAATTGTAATGCTGCGACCGGTCACAAATGATTCCATCAGATCTGTCCATAAAATGAATTGTGGATAACCGTGTTTGTTGCACGTCGGGCTGAAATGCATGAAGTACACTGATTTTTCAATCGACGATCGTGATGATCTCAAGCACATCGATGCACTCACAATACAAGAAAAATCGGACGGGCCCGGCTGTAGAATATTTTTTTTCTGTTCATTAGTATTTAATAAGAAGAGAAATGAAGCTAAATACGATTGTTTTTTTTTACCTCTGTTATGTTGCAACGAAGAAATATTCCTAATGTTGTCACATTATTTGAGAAATGCATTTTCTCCGTCTCAGCTCGCCATGAGAATTGCTTGAAAATGAATTCTGGTGAAGTATATCCATCCAATTGCTCAATATTCACCGGAATGCGTAGCTCAAATGAGGTTTCCGCATTCATTTTCTTCTGAAAATCGTGTAATTTGATTGGAAAAACTTGATAATATTTTTTTCAAAATTCAATTTTCGTAAAATGCTTTTTTTCTTCGTCCACTCCGTTGTAGTGTCAAAACACCCGTCTCTGTTAAATGTTTACACAATACACAATACACAACTGAAATGTCATAAGAGCGACGCAACGCGATCTACTTAATACACAAAACCAAAATTTTATGATTACGATTTGCTATGCGGTCGTCTCATATTTTCAATATCCTTCATTTTTGTTTATGTCAACATTTTTTTCTCTCTCTGTCTGTCTTTCATTCCACTCATTTTATCGATAAATTTTTCCTTTGAATGTGGTGATGATGTCATTAAAAATGAATATGAACCACATTTCATTTATTTCATAGTGAAAGTATTTATTTGTTTATTTTAAAATCATTGAAGGCATATTTAACAATGATATTTGAAAAAATACTAATTCTATGACAAAAAATTTCATTGATTTCAAAGGCTACTTTGATTTGCATGACAAATTACGAAAATAAAGAAAAAAAATTATGATGTTTGTAAAAATGAAAATATTTCAGTCGAGTAGAATAATTTGTGCTGGAAGACTGAGATCCAATTCTTCATTGCACATGATGCATATTTTGCGTAGCTTCAGATCTTCATGGACGCATTCATAGCAGTAAAGATGACCACATGATACACGACACAATGTGCAGAAGTCAATGTTTTTGAAACAGCACATACATTGTATAATCGATCCATTTGACAGGCGAGAACTCGCCGAACTACAGCTGGGTCCTGGCTGTGGACTTGGTACCCGATTTTCAGCCACAAATTCTTCCTTTTGTATTTCAATTTGCATGCAAATCGAACCACTTCTTGTCATGTACGTTTTTTGTAATGTTTGCCATCTCACGAAGCTCGAGAAGCCCGCCCATGTACAATCTTCGTCAATTTCCTGTGTGCCAGTATTTTGCTCAAAATTATTATTGTCCGTCGGTGTTAAAAAATTGCCATCTGGTCCAATCGCAATCAACTTTATTTTGGCGTTCAGCTTTACCTGAAAAGAGTGAAAAAGAATCAATAAGTAATGGAAAAGAATGGAAAAAGAATCGAAGGAATTGTATACTTTACCTTTTTGTTTCCATTTTTGCGACAATTCCACAAAAATACGCTCAACGCATGGAATTTTTCGTCATCCCAAATGGAATTTTTGTAAACTTGCACACGCATCGGCATATCCCACAGAATGAATTCCGGCGAGATAATTGCAAGTACATTGCTGATTTGGTCAAACATCAAATTTAGCGTCACTTTCATGGGTTGTTCGGTTGGCTCAATTTTCAAATGAACATTTGCATTTTCGTTCGGTTTCGTTGGTTCGTCCGCTTTGACCTTGATTTGCAAACGAATTTCGTTGTTATCGTTAATGTATCCCATCTTCGAGTCCATCAATTTGTCGTATTTGATAAACGGTTTGATCGACCACATTTTGTTCGTGGCACTATATTCTTCCGGCTGAATAAAGTCGGTGTGATGCGGCACTCCCTCGTAAAATGATTTCAATTCAACGTTAATAGTTGCAATGCAACCGTATGAACCGTATGCATTATCACCGTCCCTAATGATTCGTTCCAAATGCACATTGATGGCATCACCTTCGGTTCCCGACACTTTTTCCACATGAAATTTCCAATCGAGATCACGCAATTTGAAGGCATAACTTTCGGATTGTAATAGTTGAAAGTCTATAATAGTCATTTCGCATGAAATTTGACTTGTTGAAAAAATTGTCATGGCCATTTTGAAACGAACTATTTTTTTTTGCTGTCGATTGTTGAAATACACAGTATACGTATGCTGATGTCCTAACTATTGAACAAGCGTCTTACGAATGAACCGTCTGCATCTAAATGTCATTTACAGAAATATGAATCCCAAACTCACAGACTCACACATTCACAACGACAAAAAAAACAATCACAGTGTTTTGATTGTGATTACATTCAAAATATCGAATTTTGCTTATATTTCGCTTTCCAAAGAAATTCAATACATTCAAAATCACATCAAGAACAATGAAATGAAAAGACGGTAGATTGAGATGTCACAAAATTAAATGTTGAGATTTTTATTTTGTAGGAAATAAAGTACGTATGGATTCTTAATATTAAGAAAATTCTAATTAAGTATTTGAAACAATCAGAATTGTTTTGCTATCTCGTAAGATTGGAACATTTTCAGTTGTTCATCATCTTTATGGTTTTTTCAACGAATTTTTTTCTATTATATATATATTGAACTTAATGTTGTTATTTTTTTTAAAAGGTATAAAAATGATATAAAATTATCGTCTCATAAGTTCAGGTTCAGATTAATCATATTATATTAGATCGGCTTGACGTCAACATCGTCGCCATCGTTCAAATGAATGTAACGGGATCGGCAACTAGCTGCAAGATAGAAAAATGATGTAGTTTTTGAATTTTGTTATTCAATATTAATGATCAACTGTTTACCTTATCGCGATGTATATGGAAAGTAAATGGTTCGAATTTGTGTGTTTACAACCTTTGCATTACAAATTGGGCATTTCTTCCGGCCTCGAACACTTTGCTTCATACAGTCATCACAATAACAATGTCCACATTTCAATGAAACGGCTTGTACTTCCAGTGCAAGTAAGTCACGAAAACTTTCCAGGCATATCGGGCAGCCAAGATCATTTTCATTCGTCTCTGTGTGGTCAATCTGGGAAACGGTTTCTTCTATTTTCATCAATTCAATGTCGATATCTAGTGCAAATGACCCATTCTTCACATACTGGTTACTTGGATCGAACAGGTCCGTCCATTTGATGAAATCATTGAACGGCAACAATTTTGTCCTTTCATCAATACGTCCAATAAAATCGTGGCGAACAGCATCGAATGGATGCAAACTGATGGTGGTTGTTACATCGTAAAATCCCGAATCCATTTGACTATCAAAACACATCGGCTTTAAATATAGTCCCAATGCATCACCGTTTCGGTATGCACAAATTTTCCAAAATTGGTCGGCAACATAAAACATTGGTGACATTATTCCGGCCACCCTTTTGTCCAAGTTTTTTACGATCAAATTAAGTTGGATGTTGAATTGACTTTTGCGCAAAATTTGTAGACGTGTCAAGTCAGTGGGAAAAACCAATTGTGGTGCATCGGCTTTTATGTAAATTTCGAGCGTGATTGTGTCATTTTGAATGAATTTTCTAGCCGGATCATTTATGTCTTCGAAGAGAAAATGAATATTATGTTATTCAAGTGATTTATTATTTGTTTTCAACTATTCTCAATTCCTTACCATTAAGCGAAATCAACGACAACGAAAGTGACGATGGATTTTCACCACCACATTCATTTGGAATGATCACCTTTTGATGTGGCTCCACATCATTATCGAATGGAATCAATTTGATTTCAGCGTATACAATGCATGGCACGTCGATACCGTTATCCATGTTCACTCTGTACAAAAAAACTTTCAACGCATTCGCGTTGTCTACGGACAATACCTTTCTGACTTCGAATTTCCAATGAAATCCGCGTAAAACAAACTCCGGTGACTCGCTTCGTTTTAAATTGCTAAGATTTGTTATTTTCCATATGATGTTGCGCGCAACATCATCAACACACAATTTTGATGGCATCTTTCTTTTGTTGTACACCGAAACTTGTTAAATCGTTTGTACTGTGTCTTGAATGTTACGGTGATTGAAACTGGCGGGAATATAAATCATCGACTGACCCGTTGTGAAATCAAAATGTGTTTGACGTTTAGAATTTTGTTGACACAAACTGAGCTAATTGTAAGTGTATGCATTGCTAAAATAACAAACGCAACGTTTGTAAACAATAATCGATCTCACTAAAGAATAACGACGTTTATGATGAGTGCAAAAGAGATAAACGAAAATTCGGATTCAAACCATTTTTTGAAAATTAATAAAAATACATAAATATTTTTAACAAATATTAAGAGTTCTCTAACCATCATTTAGTTTAGTTGAAGTTTTATTATTATGAGTCATAACTTTTTGTTTTAAAAGAAATATTTTTTTTACAGTAAAAGAAAATGAAGTCTCTATCACAATTGGAAGCAGAACATCACATTGACATCGTCTCTAGAAGTGCAAAATGTGTAAGAGAATCTGTACGATGTTGTTTGTTATGTGTAAAAGTTCATTTCATGATAATTGTCGTCAGAATAATATCGCACGCGCTCATTTTGAACGATATCAAATTGAGAGTACATTATTATTTGAAATGCCGCGCAACTACATATTAGAGTGTGGAGCAAATTGTCGTATTTGGATCGAATACACATATGGAATTGTGGAGAAAGAGAAAGAGAAACTTATTATAGTGCAACGACACACAAACACAGTGACACGACGGTGTTCATTGAACGAAATGTGTATCATGTCGTCGTTGATTTCAATATCTATATGTTTCAGTGTGCATGCTCTTTTTGTTATAGCTTTAGTCGTCGTCGTTGTCGTCGTCTTCGTCGTTGACGTTGTTTATTTTAATTGTATTTATTTCTTTAGCATGTATTGCTTTCACCGCATTTTCTTATGTGTGCTTTTGTTGTTGGCGTTTTATTGTCCGCAGCAGCGTATGGATATATTTTCATTTGCTGTGCTTTTTTTCACATTTCAATTTTTTCTATGTAAATGCTGGTGTAAATGTTAAATGCGAACGTATGCTCATTGTAGTTGGGGCTTTGATTGTATGTGCATATATATAAGCAAAATTTCAATGGAGTACAAGTACATGAACATGCTCTTCGAGCCAATGTTGTGTTGTTGTTTTTCAACGATTTTTCTGGTGGATGTAAGAGAACCATATACATTGCCACACGATGCAATTGCGGCATACAATTTCGATACACATGAAACGAATTCGAATCAGAATAGAACTGAATTTGGACCAACACGTAGCAAGTGCTAGTGCATGAAGCGGTGTGTATTAAACAGTTTTTTTCGCTCTCTCTCTCTCTCTCTCTTTCTCTCTCTACCGCATTTATTCGTATAGTTTATGTGCACGAGTATAGGTTTCACCGTCGTGTGAACGCACACAAACGAATAAGAAGAAAACAATCTCGCCAGAGCCCACATTGTTTTCTTCTCTCTGTTTTATGTTTTGATTTTGGTTTTGATTTTATTTCAAAAACCTCCGACTTCGGTTCGGTTCTTCTTGTCGTTAGCGCTTCTGTTTAAAAACGTTAGCCCGTTCGTCGCGCGACTCACTTTTGATTTGAAAATAGTTTTTTTTTTTTTAATTTTTTGTAAGTTTTGTCTAAAAGGAAAAATAGTTGAAAATAAATTTTTCTTCAGCTTGGTGCTGTGTGACCGAAAATTTTGTCCGCAATGGACAATTCAACAAAAAAAAAAAATCACACGTGAATTTTTTTTTATCAAAGCTTATTTAAATTGCATGGTTTTGATTAAAGAAAACTTTTGAAATTTTATTGGAAAATTGGAGAGAAAAAAATGGATTGCCTCACGGTTAATTTTGTGTAATTTCGTTCAAGTGATTTATAAGAAATTTATGGAAAATAAAAATCAATTTCTAACGTTGAAAAAGTGAACTTTTAAAAATTTGATTCGAGTTTTGGAGAGGTGCAAATGGAAAATAAAACAAAATTATAAATTTTGTGTTGCAGCAACTAAGTGTTGATTCGAAAAAGTAGTTTTTCATCACAAAAAAAGCACATAAATTGCTATTTATTCGTCTTTTTTTAACTGCAGCTGTTGAATACAACATTTTGAAGATAGAAAAATCTAAAAAGATCTGTGATACATATAAAACAAAAAATTTCAATGTGAATAATTAGAGCAACGTAAAAGGGATCACAAATGTTTTGCATGGCGATAAGGTAACAATGGTTCATATCTATGATGACAGTTTTTTTTAATTTACCGTATCATCGAAGTTATTATTTCGAATGGAGAAAGAGATGTGTTATGAACACTTGTCCACCGTCCATCGCACTCACTTTAAATGCAGACTTTCATTTGGCACTTGACCTATATTTGATATTTCTTTCATGCCGTTGACGTTGAATTGGACTGTTTCTCGTTTTCTTTCGTTTAGTTTTTGGTTGTTGTTGTTTTTGTTGTTGTTGTTGTTTTTTTCAATACGTAAATGAGATAAAAAAAGCTGTATCCGATCGCAAAGAAAGTGACCAAAATTTTTGAGACAAAAAGCGAACTAAAATGTGAACAAAAATGTAAAGGAAATAAACACATAAATGCAAAGCGCACGTACAAATATAAACCATCTCATCGTAAGATAATTTCAACTTTCTAACACATATTGCTCAGTGAATGAGCAATGGCCACAAAACCCATATAAGTTTGTATATGCCAAACAAAATAGAAGACGAAATGACGTTTATTGTCATTGTTATTATTATAATTATAAGTTTGATGATAAATGTTGTGGTCGAGAATTGGCACGATTAAGATCGTATTGAGTCCAACTAAAAATGATGGAAAATATGGAGCATATAAATCGGTAGTTGATTGCAAATTTTTATGCATATCAATTCGATTTTTCGTCACATAAATCGAAGTCATGTGGTAACTGAAATGCATACACACACACACACACACACACACACACAAACATACATTTAATCAAGTTGTAAATAAAATGAAAAGCCAATACGAAACTTAATATTCACCGCAAAGTGGCTCGTAAGTGATCTAATTCCTTGTTGGTTTGTTTATTTGGTTTGGGCTAAATGCAATGTGATAAAGCACTGAATGGAAAATATGCATATAAACACCTTACTTACTTGTATACTCAAAATGAGAGCGCCAAAAAGAGAGAAGGAATAAGAGAGAGAGGGAGGCTAGATAGAGATTGAGAGGGAGAGAGAGAGATGGGGAAATCACCAACAACAGTAATAACAATAAAAATAAAAGCACAGAGGAAACAAACAATGTGTATCGCAACTGAACAACGCAAGCGGACAGAAAAACGACAATCGAAATAAGGTGACACACACGGGAAATCATATTGCAATTTGATGGATACACATGTAACTGTGTGACGACGCTCATGTGCAACGAAAGCACGCTTCATATAGTACAATCCAATGTAACTTTGGGCCAAAGAATCATTTCGTTTTGCAAATCACAAATGGTTCGAAGCAAATACACTTGCCAACCGTATGCTCATGTTCATACAATAGAGCACATGGACAAGAAATCAAAAGATGTACAACACCGATGAAATGAACAAACAAACAAACAAAACGAACGATTGTTACACATTTGCATGCATAATTGCAAATAACGCGCCATCCCATATCCATAATTTAACACAATACGGTGATGTTTTAACTTGAAATATTTTGTTTCATTGCTTGGGTGTTTTGTGTTCATCTTTCTTTTTCCAACGCCGCCGCTCTCTTTTCAAAAATACATTCACAAAATGTTCAAGCAAACAATATGAACATTTTGAAGGAGTTTTTTCGACGAACAATTACTTGAAATCATAGCAAGGGTGTTCTTAAATTTGGAATAACGCATGGCAGAAATAGACGCGTCCACCACCTCATTTGAATTCTAACAAAATTTACATTCATTCCATTATTAATAAATGTCATTATTAATTTTGCTATATTTATCCAGTTGATGCCGGTGTGCAAAATGATTTCATGTCATCCATTATTACTGAATTGAATGCTTGAATGCCCGAGAAAAAGGGAAAGATGAAAATCGGCATGGATACAAGTGCACACAATTCATGGCAAAAGAGAAGAAAAAAATTGTAACATAGAACTAGAGTAAAATCAAACTGCGTACCGAATGAACGAGAGCGAATGTGTGTGGAACAGACCGAATAAGAAAGATGAAGAAAGAAGAAAAGAGATAGAGAGAGTGAGAGAGAGAGAGAAGAGAGTGCGAGTATATATGACACAGTTAACTCAATCTATTGAGTCCGAGTTATATATTTTAAAATTTGCTACATGCATGCATAGTAAGAGAAAATGTGATCGTATGGCCAATTTTACATTGGTGGCGTTGTTGCCTTTATTGTTCTTATTGGTGTTAATTTGTTTTCAACGTATATCGGTATGCGCCTCTCTTTGGCATAAAATATGCCATTACATTGATGATTGAATGATACACAGATATGTATACATAAATATTATGATAACGGAGTTCTATCGAAATTTGAATTTAAAAGAAGAAGTAAAAAAATGAATTGGTTTCAGGCAGTTGCTTAGGGCTTTTCACCGACGCAATACAATTTTTTTCACATATTTATTTCAAAAATAATTTTATCAATCGAATATCGAATTTTTTTTTTTGATAGACACTCTCAAGCATTACTTTAATTGTGTTTGTTGCCTTTATATTTATATATACACTTTTATGAGAAAATATATCGTTTTTGTTTCGCTCAATACATAATTTCCGTGCTTGTCGCGTGCATGCCTAATTTGTACCAATTTTCAAATTTTTGACTCACGCCACACATACACATAAATTACATGGTATATAATTCGTTCCCATTCCCAATTCTCTACTATGGTTTGCGAAAAACCGAGGCAACATTAGTGCAATGTAACTTAACCGCTTTCGCACTTAGTCAAATGAAATTCGGCTCGGTTTTAACATTTTGAACGAAGCTCTTACTATGTTTGACAACTCCCAAATCATAAGATGCTTTCACATACGACCGTTGTAGCCGCCATCGACGCCGCCATCGCCATCAACACCACCACCACCAACCACCACCACCGCCGCTATAGAAACAAATTATGGCTCGTGTGATCTCTTATATACTGTGTTCGAGGCCGGTCGGTATATGTATGTGCAGTGGTTGTTGTTAAGTGCAAAATTGAAGCAAAAATAAGCGGCACTGCATATATACACATCATATCACATCACATTACAAGGTCTTATGAATTCGATCCATGTACCATGATGATGTTCACATTTTTTGTTGTTTTCATTATAGAATATCTTTCACAAAGTGGGTAAAACTTTCACATCCAATCGAATCGAATGGAAGAAGAGCGATACCATGGCTTTGACGAAATAAATCAGATTTTTGGGGCTATTTCTAATATAAAAAGAAAGAAAGAAATGAAACGCCAGCCATTTACATACTGTTAAAGATTTATGGACGAATATGTATGTAGTGAACGGAAATATCCTTGTCGATCATTTCTCGTGTCGGCTCCGGCTGTTCGGAATTTCATACGGAAAAGGGAAAGAGTTGCTATATGTGCTACCGTTAATGTTGTGTTGTATTCTTCTTTTTTTATTTGGATAAAATAGAACATAACGTGTCGGTTCCGATGACAACATAGCTTGTGTTAACCGATTTTTTATTTCGATGGTGTTCCTTTCTTTGCGATGCCAAATAACCGTATGGAGTTTGGCGTTTGCGTGTGCGTGTTTGGTGTGTATGTATAAGTCTAGGTTCGTCTGTTAGCATTCCATTCAATGTAATGCCGTCGTCGTTGTTGTCGTGGTAGTCATCACCGTTGAATTCATCGTGTGCGTTGTGCTTTTCTGAATACTCTGTTTGAACTTTCATTGAATCACTTTATCCCTCGTTAGCAACTGAAATAAATTTCGGTAAAACACTAATCATTTCTAAGCAGACGTTTTCGCAACAGCAACAGCAACAAAATAGCAAAAAAACAGGAAAAAACCAGAAAAAATATAAAATTAACAAGAAGTAATCCAAATACATAACTTTTCCTTTTTGCCATCAAATTTTCGTGTGTATTTCGCGCAAGACATCGATTCGATGCACACACATCGCCGTATATAATCAAAGTAGGATCGAAGTTTTTCGTCTCTTGGTTTCGGTGTTTTCTCGTCGTCTTTCTCTCTATTTATGGGATTGTGTAAGCCAAAAACCAATTCCTCATGAACATTCGGTGAATTTATCTCGAATCAGCGAGACGAACCACTCGAAATCAGCTCGTATCATCAGTCTGATTGTGACGAATTGTTCATGAAATTCTTTTAAAAACCTTCTCTCAAACACACATTCATCTAGTAGACAAAGTAATTTAGCCGTTATGAATAAGTTTTTTGAAATTCAAAATTAAATTAAATGTGCTTTTTGACTGGACAATGTTCAAAATTATGTAGACATTGGTGTAATTTAAGAATTATGCGTGCTGTTGCCAAGTGAAGTTTTTCCTATTTTTTTGTTGTTCGAATATATGACAAGTGCTTCGATTCCATCTCGATTTCCTCATCGCTGTTAACCGGGCTCTTGAATGATTCCAATAGTTGTGATGACAAATTAAAAAAAAAAACAAACAAACAAACAAACTAAGTGAGATAATCTCAACACTAATCAATTGTAAATGTGTCCAGGTTTCAAATGAATCGCAAGGAAAACAAGCAAAAGAAATCCGGAATCGCGTTAATTGTTCGCCCGACTTTAATCGAATAGCCGAATTAGAGTTTCTTCAATTCCATCATCTCTGCAGCTATCGCCGTCATTATTTCAACATCATAAATTTTTGCGGAAATATTTCGAAATTTAGCTTTACAATTTTTGGACCAGAGGCTGTGCAATTCCAATATCAATTCTTTGCCAAACAAGCGTCGATTCAAGCGGACAGACAGATTGATTTGACAACCGTTTCCGGCCATTGATTGGAAAAGTAGCAAATGTAAGTAGAATTTACTGCATTGATAGAAAAAAATAATCGCCAATTGATGGAAAAAAAACCACAACCTTGACTAAAATGCTATACGAATGAAATGAAGAAATGTCGTTTCGACAGCAAAAAAAAATTCAGCGAAATTACCCGTTTCCTTTCCCATTTCGAAAGTTTTGACGAAAAATCCTAATGCCATACATACAGGATAGACTACATATATAAACTGCCATACATACATATATAGCATACACATGGATTGAGAACAACTTTCTTGACCTTCCTCTAACATTTTTCGTTTTTCACTTTTTTTTCTCCATTTGGAGGTTATGTTCGACCGTCCTTTGTGTGGAAACAGGCACACAAACACGCATACATACACACTCAATACCATATATATAACAAATGTAGTATGCGATGGAAAAATAAGAAAATACAGTTCAATGTCTATACAATGTATAATTATGTTATACCATATGTAACGACATCAGACGCAGGCAACAGCAAGCAGGGAAGCGTACCACAAAAACAATAACAGTGCGGAAAAAGGGAAAACAGAAGAATATCAATAGCACATATATATATATATATCATATATATGCAACACAGAAACAGTTGACTCGGTGATAGGGTATTCGCATTTTTCTTGAGGTTGATCACAGTATTACCGTGTACATATAATGTCATGATATGAATGCTCAAATATTATATAGCTCGAGCTTTTTATTTTCCGTCTAGAAACAAGTAAACTTTTCATATGGTTCCCTTACGACTACTAATATTGCCCCAAACGAGCTTCACATATTCAGCGACTAGATATATCAGATTTGATTCCACATATAAACCACTTTGTTGTATCGCGCGCGCGTGTGACAACAGTTAACAAATCCTTTGCAAATACGATGGAGTTTTAAGCTCAACGAATATGACACACATTCGAAATGAATTTTGATTGTGTGTGTTTCATGATGATTGTGCATACAATACGGCATCTTTTTGCGATTAAATTTTCATCATTTTTCTTGTGTCTGTTTTGGACTCTGCACTTCTGCAATTTTAGTCAAAGTCTTAAGCAATAATCCTTATGTTCGAACGGACATTTAAATCCGGTCGCAGGACTGCTTTCACTTCACTTAATTCGATTTTACATGGTTATATCAATTTGATGTTTCAACCATATAATTTCAATGCACAAAGATCTTGTGTATATATAATTCCTCTCTCTATCTCTTTCTCTCGAAAGTTCTCACTTTTGGTAATGTTCAGCACTTATATAGAGTGTTTGTTGTCGATGCCGGTTTATGGTATCAGCCGACATGGTCTATATGTATACAAAGCGCTATGCAATGTACAGTATTCATCATCAAGTCGCAAAATTACTATATATACTACCCTTGCGCATGCCTTGCATTTCTTCGAAATTTTTATTATCTCAGGCAGCAAGAAGCGTTTATCGCCAAACAGCATATAGATTCCAATGATAAATATGTATATATATTTATTTATATATGGTAAAATTGTGTGTCCTTGTGAATTAGAAGCGTATATCGCTTTTGTTATCTTACCGACGCGTTTGCTTGTTTTAATTGAAGAGAGGAAAAAGGCCAACATGAAATAATATCGGTGAGGTAAGCTCCATACCGTATGTATATATTATATGCGTATGAGTTGAAACATCATTTTGATATGAGCAACCAGTATCCAAGTTGCTACAATGAAAATTATACTATTTACTTAACGGCTTGCCATGTAATCTACATGGTAAATTTTACATCACTAATCAACTCTTCACGCACAGCGAACATTGTTTTTAGATTAAAAGTTATACCACTTGAACGGCCAACAAGAATTTCCACCCACGATTTAAAATGATTCATTTATTCTTCAATTTTGTAGGCGATATATGTTATAATCTCATTTTCTATTACGGCCCAAGCTGCTAAATGGCCCAAACCATTCGGACAGTCAGTCGATAAAGATGGAGAAAAACAATGGGAAGAATCAACGATACAGACGGAAACAATGTCCCATAGCTATTACCAATTCTATTTTCAGTGGAAGAAGAAAAATGCTCGAAAATCAAACGACAAAGCAAAAACTATTATCATTCGACATTCGGGTACATATAAAGTATAACCGATATTTAGCGTATCTGTGTGTATGTGTGTTTTGTTTGAGTGCATGTATGCTTTGTGGAGTATCTTTAATTGACTCCCCAGCTGATTAAATTGAACCGTTCCTTACTAACTTTCTAACATACTTTCAATTATGTCACCAAATAAAAAATGGCAAGTAGAAAAAGGGGGCAAACAAGAAGAGACACACTTTATCCATGGTTTTGGTCGGAAAGACGGAAAATGAACGCCCTTTTTTGAAAAATTTAAACCGAATTTCCAGCGCACACACACACATTTCGTTCTTTGTCTCAACGATAGACATACACATGCAAATATATCCTTGAAGCTTAACAACAGGGTCGCCGACTCAAAATTACAGTTGAGTACATACTGAATTCATGTAGCTTACATATTTTATTATTTCACTGTATATCCATCCTCATTCTCTTTTCAATTCATACGGTATATGAAATTATCATCGCCTGGCCAACAATAGTCTACAGAATTTGAGTGTTGAGTTGAAAATCAGCAGCAAAAAAAATTGTGCTATTGCTGTGTATCTTCGTCGCCGTCATTGCCGCCGCCGCTGTTGCCGTCACTGCTCACTCTACCGCTTTCTCAAGCTCAAATGTGTTATATTTTATATATCTACGACCTATACATATGTTATGTATATACATATATATATTATATATTTAAAGTAGAAGCACAACTTTATGGGTTTCATGAGTAAATAGCTAGCTACTCCCCGTTGAATATATGGTTTCAGGGTGGGTTACTGAGTAGCATTTCAAGAGTTTACAAATGCGTAACAAGCGTGTGATTGTGTACATTTTATGTAATACACAATAAATACTCATAATACTGGCTCCCGCATATTTTCGAGAAAATAGACAGCAAGATACCGGGGACGAAATGAAAAAAAAAAATCCAGCGTCCATAAGATCGTTTGCTGGTTTATTCGTTTTGGTTATATTGCTGTTGCTGTTGCTATTTGGTCTTCATTATCCTTTTTTCGTTTAATTAAAATTGAAAACTATAGCAACAGAAATGTACAGCGATTGCCAACTGTCCCAACACATTTACGTTCATTTCAATTAGTCAAATAATAACGTGGAATGGCCTCGGTAATGGATAATCAAAGATTCGTTTTTTGTCGCCATCTAAACTATATTCAATCACAATGAGAAGATTATTGCGTTGACAACAGTATACGGTAAAATGTCAAAAATAACACAAGCGTAACCGAAACAACATACCATGCCATCCAGTAACAAAGAAAAATTTCCATAATTTCAACTCGAATTTTCTTTACAATTTTCAATGAAGGCGATTTTTACATGAATAATTTTTAACATGCAACAACTAGTCTTCAATGAAGAATACATATATGATTCAAATTAAACGCAATATTCACATTATATTGATTATACATTTTGAATGTGATCGTCGTCCAATCACGCACTCTTCTCTATTTTCAAACCATATCATAGACAGATTGCTTTTGTCCACAATAAACAATAGTTGAAACATTTTCCTTTTTGCCTATAATTTTTGTTTTCATCCACAAATTATTTGACACGTATTTATGACAGCAGATTAAGAATCGAACTTTTTTCGTCTGTTAATGAATAAATGTATTGTATATATTTGGTATCCGGTCAATTCGTGGAATTTTCGTCTCAGCTTACATAACATACGACGTCTTTCAATCATCATCCAATTAATCGTATATCTTAATATGTATCAGGCAGCTGAGAAATCGAAATTGGAAACATTTGGATACCAAAAATGATAATTTAACGTAAAAATGTGTGTTATTTCGGCTGTTATTTGACCTTTTCTATAGCAAGCTTTTGAAGTGGTGAAAAATAGCCAAACACAAACATAACTGTCGTCTGGATTTGTGTACTCAACATTATTAATCTTGTACATTAAAATGAACGAATGAAAAAAAAAGAAGATGAAATGATCAGTCAGGCAAATAAAAATTGATGACGAACAATGGGCGTATTTTCTTGTTCAAAATAAACAATTTTCGATATGAATAGAAAGCAAAAATGTTAAAACATAGAACTAAAATCAATTTGAAACGAAAGCATTTCAACAAATAACAATCAACGAATGGAAAACTCAAAACTTCGATTGAGATAGCATACACTCGACTTAAAATAATTGGTTCATATCGAAATATTTATAACAGTCTGACGCTTGTTAGTTTTTTTTTTTCATTTTACAGTTTGGTTACAGACATTCAAAGCATTATAAATAAATTGAATTTTGTGTGTGTGCTTGGAAAAATTGCGATTTTGATCATTATGCTATTGGTTTTGAGTTTATGTAACTGATAATTATAGAGTAGCGATGATCATACGCTTACAACATTTTGAATCATATATGTTATTTGTATGCGTTGAGACTTTTGGCTCTTATGTGCGAAACAAAAAGAAACAGTAACACCATATTTGTGAAATTATGAATTAGACCAAAAATTTCTTTGGCAACTATGAATTACGTTAATGAAAACGGTTTAATGGTTGAACCAAGATCTTTCAACCACATGAAAATCAAAATATCCGATTCATATTACGAAAAAACTAAAAAAAAAAAACGGGGCAGTTACGAACACCCCGTAACTTTTACATTGTTTTACTTTTATTTATAATCGAACGGTCTGCCTGAAAATGAGAATGCACACAAAGTCAATAACAAATTAAATAAATCTGCGGCAAACAGTTAGTGGGCAAAACACATTTTTTTATTCAAATTGTGTCAAAAGCAAAAAAAAAAAACACGATTTACAAAAAACACAATTTGGCACATTTTTTCGGTGTTTGTTCGTCTATTGTTGGTGTCTGGCACTCAATGGCGATGATGAAGTTGAAAAGCGAACAG